GTAATTTTATTTACAAACAGCTAACTACAAACAGCTAAAGTTGCCAAACACTTAAAATTTAACTGCTAACAGAAACAGCCGGTTAAAACAGCTAACTTAATCAGCCATTCAAATCAGCTAACATAAATAGCCAACAGCCAACAGCCAACTGCTAGTATCTAAACAAGGCCAAAGTAGTAAAATTAACAGCTTTTTTTAGGGTTGAGAGCATTTTTTCAATAAAATATGAGTAAAATTTATTAGTTTGTTACCAAATAAAATTTCTATTTTTTCATTTGAGTAAAATAAATATTGCTTATTTTATTTGTGTAAAATTGAGAACTTGAGATCACAATAATCATCCAAATGCAAAGAGGCTAGAGAGAGAAAGAGAATGTAAAAGTACATGTGTGAACACTTTAGCCATCTTTCAAAGCAGCGGTGCAGCTTCCTAATTCACTACTCCAATCCGGTAATTTTATTGGTTAAAATTCAGTACCACTCTGAGTAACATATTTGTTTATTTTGCCCAATTTCATCGTCTTCTTCAATTTCATCTGGAATTCGATGGACAACAGAAAGCTTCTCTGGTATTTCTATTCATTTTTTCATTTGATTTGCTTTCTCAAGTGACTTAAACTCTAATCGATTGATCGATCGATCCACATGTTTTCTTTGAGATCTTTTATGGCGTGATAAGTGCCTTAATTTGATCTTATGGATTTTTTTCCCCTGTTCACAAACTGATTTAGATCCAAGAATTTCGAAGTTTTTAAAATTAGACCCATTATCTGAAGGCTTTGCGTGAAAGTTTCTCATACGGAATTTAGAAAAAATAATAATAATCAGTTGATTCCATTGTACTTGGTGCTTTATCTGTGTTATACTGTGTCCCCTACCATATTTTTTGTGCAGGTTGAGCCGGGGTCTCTTGGAAACAGCCTCCCTACTTCCGAGTAGGGGCAAGGTACAAACACCCTCCCCAGACCCTACTGTAGTGGGAATCACTTGGGTTGTTGTTGTTGTTGTTATATCATCAATTGATTTCAATCTTTTATTGTGATTCGGCGAGCTTGTGCCTTAATTAATTGATTGACTACTATCCAATCTTAAAGTCTACTCCCTCCGTCTGAAAATGTTCTTCACGTGTTGATTTGACACGCTTATTAAAGAGGAGTAAAAAGAGTGCCAAATTTCCAAAAATTCACGTGCTATAAATCTTTAGAGCTTCTTTTCTTATTAAAAAAGCAATAAAAAAAGTAGGTTAGAGGTAAAGTAGACGGATATTATTGAATTTTATCTTTAAAAAGTAGACTAAAAAAGAAATGAGAAGAATATTTCAGGACATACCAAAAAGGAAAATAAGATTTACTGACGGAGGGAGTAATGTTTCCTATCATCCATTCATATCTGTAGTGGAGTAATTTAGACTTTGATTCATTGATTGATCGAGCTTAATTATTCCTTTAAGAATTTTTTATGGTGTCATATGTGCTATAACTTGAGCTTATGGAGTTATTATTTGTTAATCTGCCAATGGTGTGTGGTTATGTAATTATTTATCTGATCCTATTTGTTAATCTGCCAATGGTGCTATAACTTGTTGTTTTGACTTCTCCTGCTCAAATCTTCTGCATTCACTTTGTGTTTTTTTGGCAATGTTTACATAGACGTGTTACCATTTATTCATTACTTACTTTTAGTTGATATGATGTTGTAAGACAGAAACAATAACAGGAGATAAAATGGAAACTGGTGACAGTAGCTACTGCTGTGATATGGCAATGGAACTGTTGATTGAGATCCTCATCCATCTCCCTTTGAAATCATTGATACGCTTCACTATTGTGTGTAAATCCTGGCTTCACCTTATAAGAAACGACCAACAATTTGCCATGAGACACTATCTCACAAAAACAAGACCATCACCAACTACATTGATGGACAATGTTGATTGTATAGTTGAGTACTTTGGTAAGTATGGCAGGAGGTGCAACAGCACTGTTGAAGAAGATGTTTTGAGGCTGTGTATACACTCTTTGACTGAAAAGAAAACTTTTCGTCTCTTGAAGAAGCTTGAGTTCGGACCTCGATTGAATGTTTCTGTATCCAATACATATCATGGTCTACTGTGTGTGTATGCTTCTTCTTCTTCACTTCGTGGGGCCAGAATACTACTTTGTAACCCAGCGATCCGGGAGGTGGTCCTGCTGCCACTTCCCCACAACCTAGCAACAAGCAGTCTTCCTATCATTGCAATCGGGTTTGACCCTATAAATACCAACTACAAGGTAGTGGCAGCTCAACCTCCATCTGTTTTTGGGGGACGCGGTTCTTGGGAGGTAAATTTGTACTCTGTTAGAGACGGTTGTTGGCGTAGTCTGCCGAGCATAGGCTCCCTTGACAGATTTTCAAGCTTAATATGTGAACCTGTTGTGAATGCCAATGGAAGAGTTATCAATTGGTTCGGTTATCTCAAGTCAACAGAATCAGAAAAAGGTTTGTTGTCATTTGACGTGGTTGATGAGGTTTTTTTTGATTTATCCATGCCAGCATGTTTATGCTCAAAGAGTTGGCGTCTACGTCATATCTTGACCTCAAGAGGATGTGAGGCTTGTCTTTGTTGCTCTCCTTTTCCTACCTCTGTTCAGAAAAATGATGAGCACTTTAATGGCATTAATGTTTGGATGCTAAGTAGAGATGAAGATCAGCAAAAGTTGTGGAACAAACAATTTGCTTTCAACTTGCGAGACTACAATGTGGTTGTGTGGGCTACAAATCTTTGGATGAATGACAATGAAGTCCTCCTCCACGTGCGTAAAGGGGGAGCAAGTAAGGAAGAGGTGTACCATTATAACCTTTTCGCCGATGAGCTCAAGCGAACGGGTCGCTTTGGGGTGCTCACGAATCCTGATGGTTATGCTGAGAGCTTAATATCAATCAAGGAGTTGATGTCGCCACCGTCTTCATCATATCTTCAAGCTATGAGAGACGAACAAGAAAAAGAGAAAGACGAGGTTTGTTTCATACGAGAGGTTGGTCGAAAAAACACTGATGTCCGATGGTCCTATGCCTTCAAGTTGGTCTAGTATTTGACCGGGTTGAAGATGTACAAACATTATTGTTCAACTTTCTAAGAATGTAATACTCTGTGAATTGAAGATGTGAGAAGTTGGGCAAATACTGCATGTGTGTTTGGGAACAAATAAAGCATTTGGGGATGGCTATTTTAAAAATGAATAAACCTAGGGTACACCAAAATGGGGTATCCCATTTGTACATCAGACAAACACAAACACAGACACTAGATCACACACTTAGTGTCTGTGTTTGTCCGATGTACAAATGAGGTATCTCATTTTGGTGTACCTCTAGCATGCCAAAGATTATGTAACAATGACGTTTCGCTTGCAATTGATATACTTATTTGTATCTATTTATATATAATAGGAGTTATTGACAGTATTGCCCTTTTAGTTAATACCTGGCCTTTATCATCCAAGTGATCCAATTTCTCCTGCTATCGGCCATTATCTCCCACTCTAGCAATAAATTTCTTCATTTTTTTTAATATCAATTTATTTTCAAAATAAAAATAAGTATAAGGAAATAACATTTGTTAGGGGAGTACATGTCCTTTGTAAAACTCAAAATGAACACTTCAATTGAAACAAACGAGTTAGATATTTTTGAAGTCTTAGCACATCGAAGTAAAAAAATTCAATAAAACCCGACAAACTTGACTTGTGTTTTTGTGGTCCTAAAGTTTATGTGAGATATGAAACTTCTCACATTTTTCATGGAATGACATGTAAATTTTTTAGGCCCAATTTTTTTAGTTATCTATATACACTACGGTCTATAAAATGAGTGTCAATCTTAGGTCAACTAAGAATTTGCAAACAAAATAACACTATGTTTGGTTCAAGGATTTTTGAAAAGAAAATAGAAGGAAAAGAAAATGAGAATCCAAAATGTAATAAGATGTAAAAACCAAATTCCTTCTATTTTGGCGAGAAAAATGAAGGAAAATCATCTTCTTTTCTTTTTTTTCTTCCATATTCTTTGAATCAAATATAGTATAAGAGACTTTTCATCATATATATTCAAAAAAACAAAAATTTAGAAAAAAAAAGAATATAAAGATTTTTGGGGGATGGAAAAGTTAAAAACGGACCATTTATGTCAACTTCATTCTCATTTCAACTTAGATTATTAAAAAAATATTGTTCTCTTAGTCAAAGTTCTAATTCTATATATGCGTTAGCGGGAGTACAAAATGAAAAAATATCCACCAAGGTCTTGAAATGATGTAAGAAAAAAATAATGAATAGGAATCACAGAGAATAATTTGAATATATAATAATACTCGTAACAAAGAACAAAATTGTTTGTGTGTATATGTAAAAATGGACTGGAGAGCAATTAGGGCGTGTGCACAAATAAATTTTAAAAGAGTTTTTGTATGGCGTATCATAAATCATCGACCAATTTAGGCAACGTCTTGAAATAGAAGAATGAGAGCCTATACCAACCAATTAATTTATGCATGGAAATTTGTTTAAAGTCACTAATCCAAATTGGCATTTAATTGATGAATATAAACCTAATCACCATATATCTCATATAGGGTCTATGGCCATTATTTTTCACATATAAAATGAGTTTAAACCCAATCAACGAATTTATCGATCAAAGTCATTATAAAATATTTTAAAGAAGCTAATAAGACAGTTCGCACACCACATAATTAATGGCATTGATAAAGTGCACAATTCTTTTGGTTAATTTCTCCCTTCTCTTCATTCTTTGTTCATGTCAAAATCCATCCAACATAACTACTAATGGTTTTCAACCAGCCATTGCAACATGGTACGGTCCAGCAAATGGTCATGGAACTCGTAAATATTTACACTTTGTATTATATGCTACTTCATGCCAAAAAGATTTTTAAAACAGCCTCGATCAGCTCTACCCACAAGAAAAGATAAATGTAGTAAATTTTAGGTATTTTAGATATGGGTAGATCTTTCGGAGACTGAAAGAGTATTTGTTCCAATCATTCATAATATTAATAATTATGTGCACATATGGAAACGTGATCACCGACAATCAGATATGGATTTGCCTGTTTTTTCAATCGAGAAGCCAGAATCAAAATCAGATGAGGAATGGAAACGTGATCACCGACAAGTTTGTGGCTTTATTAGACAATATGTTGGTGATAATGTTTATGGTCTCATTGCAAATGAAACACATGCCAGGTCACTTTGGGAGAAACTCGAGTCCATGTATGCATCCAAATCTGGTAATAACAAGTTGTACTTGTTGAAGTCCTTGATGAACTTGTCTTATAAAGAAACTACTCCTTTGTTGGATCACTTGAATGCATTTCATGGTATTTTAGATCAGTTATCTGGTGTTGGTATAAAGCTTGAGGATGAACTAGCTGCTCTTTGGTTGCTAAACACTTTACCTGAGTCTTGGGAGATATTTAGGGTCTCAATTATCAATTCTGCCCCGGATGGTATTGTATCCATGCAAACTGTTAAACCAGCTATGCTTAATGAGGAGATGAGAAGGAAGATGCAAGGTTCTTCGTCTCAATCAGAGGTGTTAGTTACAGAACATAGGGGGAGGAATGCTAACCGAGATCAAAGAGGCAGAGGGAAATCCAGAAGCAAGTCCAAGTCCAGATATAAGAATGTTGAGTGTCATTATTGTCACAATACAGGACACATCAAGAAAAATTGCTTCAAGTGGAAAAGAGATAACAAGGCTAAAGGCAAGAATGAGAAAGAGGATGAAGGTGGTGACCGTGTTTCTACTGCTGATCTTGTTGATGATTTGATCTTTGTCACCGATGCAGATGTGGTTAATGCAGTGTCAGATGACCAGAGCTGGGTTATTGATAGTGGTGCTACGTTGCATGTGACTCCAAGGAAGGAATTCTTCACATCCTTAAAGTCTGGCAGTTTTGGAAAATTGAAAATGGGCAATGATGCAGTTGCAGAGGTTGTTGGTATTGGAGATGTCTGCTTAGAGACTCAGATGGGTACTAAGTTGCTCCTAAAAGATGTTAGGTATGCTCCCGATGTCCGCTTGAATCATATTTCTGTTCATAGACTTGATGATGAAGGTTATGAAAACCATTTTGGTGGTGGAAAATGGAAGCTTAAAAGGGGAAATCTGGTAGTGGCTCGTGGCAAAAAGGAGTCCAAACTGTATCGATTGGAAAGTGTACTCTCTGGGGATGTGAATGGTGATGTGAATGCTATAGAAAGTTCAAAAGCATCACATTTGTGGCATCGTAGGCTCAGTCATATTGGTGAGAAGGGGCTGAATCTTTTGGCTAAGAAAGATGTACTGCCTGGTTTGAAGAATGCAGAGTTGGAGAAGTGTTATCACTGCTTGGCAGGAAAACAGACCAGAATATCCTTCAAGAAGCATTCTTCTTCGAGACGTGCTGAGTTACTTGAGTTGGTGCATTCTGATGTGTGTGGACCTTTGAAGGTGAGATCATGGGGTGGTGCTTATTACTTCGTGACATTCATTGATGATCATTCCAGGAAACTTTGGGTCTATGCTTTGAAGACCAAAGATCAAGTGCTTGATAAGTTTAAAGAATTTCATGCATTA